ACCTTTGCCAATGCAAGCTTTTCAATTTTAATCCTTTCGGTTACAGGAACTCAGCACAAACATGGTGGTGCATGCAACTTTTTGATTTGTGTGTGTGTGTGTTTACACTTGAAATGTGCACCTGACAGCGTTACTTCGCCTTGTTTGTGTTGACAATTGCAATTGTTATTGTTGCAATATCAAAACAATGGTGTGCGTGTGTGTATTTGTGTATTAGTTACAACTGTAGGCATGTATTTATTATACCATATCTCGAAAAGCATACAACTGACTTGCACTTTAACTATAAACTATGCAAAACAATAAATCGATACGCGAGCAATCGCAAATACCTATCTTACATACATATAATTTTTGTAGGTTTTTACACACATACATACATACATGCTCATATAGAAGAACTCCAAGGGATTCACATAAGGGCAATTCCATATAAAAGAGGAAAATAACGTAAATTTTAAAATGTCTTAACTATCCCCATTTCAGTAATAAGCTCTTGCTAAACGACTATATTTCATTCACACGTTGGCTGCCACGTCGCACATTTTGGTGCGACACCTAAATGTTATCCTGAGGCCACGTCGCACATTTTCGTACATTTTAATATGGAATTTTACATGGAATTTGGATTCTCTGGCCTGTGGTGAACATTTTGGTGTATTTCCCATGGCCGCTGTGTATTTTTAATGGTATTTTAATGGTAAATGTGCGACACAAAAAAACTGTTATAACTGCAAAATTAGGGACCAAAATAAAGTCGCGAGTAGTCAAAACTTATTTTTAGGCACTAAGAAACAAAAAAGAACAAAAATAAGTTGTTGGCCTCAGGTGACCAAAATTGTTAAATGACATTGCTACTGAACGATCAAAATTCTAAAAAGGCTTTGGCGGCCAAAAATACAAATAAAAATAAACAAAAATAAGCTGTAATTTTTGTTTATGGAAACTTCATACATAATTACCTAACATAACTCACAATGACCTTTTAAATATTTCTACGAAGATAATGTCAGCCTAAATTTTAATGAAAAAGAAAGCGTATAGTCTATATTTGCAACAAAAAAAAAATGTCCGGTTTGAAAATTAACAGGGTAATTCTAGCAAATATTTTCGAAAGTCGTACAAAAAACAAAGCTCCCTTGCCAAGTTTCATGGTGTAAAGCTCTTTTGACAGTATGCACTTGAGTATTTTGCTCGCGCTACTCCAACAGGCGCAATGGCCGGGTGAGCAAAGCATTGCATTGCCATTCGGGAGATCCGAGGCTCGAATCCACAGGTAGTGGAATTTTTAGTTAAATTTTGGCCCACATGAGCAAAAAAATTTTTGCTTTTGAATGCCATATTTTTCTTACATGCTGTAATTTCGGCGAATATGTTTGCGGGGTATATACTATTATACATATAAACATATGTACATACATAAGTATGTAAATAATTTTATTGATTTAAATTAATTAATTAAACACACACATTTCACGCATGAGTAATCTCGCATTGTATGAATTATAAAGGATATCAAGGATGCAATTTATGATTAGGTAAACATCGCTGAATTTGTAATTAAAATTGTTATGGAAATTGTTACGGTTGATTAAGTTGAACTTAGCAAACGTTTTGACTTGACAGGACTGACATATGTATTTTCGTTGGGGATATTGTGTTGAACTCCTTTATCCATTAAAAACATATCTCCCCTCAAATGGGTAGAAATTCGTTCAAACCGATTGTGGCCTATATACAAAGTTCTAATTCCTCTTCACTAGTATGCCTGTTTGAAAAAAAAAACAATTTTCCAAAATTAAAAAAAACATGAAAATTTTCCATTACATGCAAAAAGTTACATTGATACGTCTTGAAATTGCCTGCATATAAAATATTTGAAAATATTGTCTGTACAATGGCGCATAATTTGGACGATATGTGCAACTAAAATAAGTATGCCAGTATAAGTATTTTGTTACTTTTTCAAATATCTGGGTATGTAAAATTAAACTGGCGCCTTTCTTCTAGCAAATTGATATCTATTTTTATTGATGGCATGCCTATTTTAGATTTTTTAGCAATTTTCATGAAAAGCCAAAAATTAATTGTTATTTAAAATCACACGTTTACTTAAAAAATAAACAGTAATTGTTAAAAATACCCCTAAAGCCTAAAGGGACTAAGTACAGTGCCGCTCACATAAATAGCACACTTTTATTTTTTACAATATTCACAATAAGGGTATTCAGACAATCCTCATTAATGTATTAATTCGTTATCTGGTAACTCGGTAACACTTTCAACTCCAAATTTACTTTCGAATCCGCTGACGTGAAGTTATGTTATTTATAAACATTTATTAATTCCACGACAGAATGATTTATTGAACTTTTGATAAAATGTATGCACTTTTCGCGCGAGAAAATTTCAGCAATTACGTGACAGGAAGGAATCAGCTGACATTTTAACGCGTGTGTTACCACATTATCAGACTTGCCCCCTCGGTTCAGTTGGTAATGATATATTCGGTAATTTACAAAAACAAAGCATGGTGGGAGTTACCGAATACCGAATAATTAAGACCTTAACGAGTATAGTCTGAATACAGTTAATGTTTTATGTGGTGCATTTTTGTCGATAATTTTTTATAAAAATATAGTGGATTCTATAACATAAACCATATAAGTCAAAGTTTAAAACTTTGTGTGCAGTTCAGGAAAATTTAACAAATTTCAAAAAAAAAATGCCAACAAAATTTTCAAACTTTTTTGCTGTTGCGGTGTTGCGTATTTTCTTCTATATAAAAATATATTTTGTTCATGCGTTATACATATGGGAGAAAATGCGCAACAACACAAACAAAATCTCAAAAATTAACGGGATTTTTCAGAATTTTAAAACCTGCACATTATTATACTAAAATTAAATGGGCTACAAAACTGCATACCATTCTGAAAAACAATTAAATTTTTATGACATTTTTTGAAATTTGTTAAATTTTCCTGAACTGTACACAAAGTTTTAAATTTTGACTTACTTATAGTATAAAATCTACTATATTTTTATAAAAACTTATAAAATATATATATATCACGTAAAACATTGTGAATATTGTAAAAAATAAAAGTTTGCTATTTAGGTGAGCGTCACTGTGCGGTGACTGCACCCGAATTCCTAACTTTCGTGACCTTGAAACGGCCAGTTATTGTTTGTTCGCTAACAGACGCTTGACTCTACCTGCTGAATAAGAGCTTGCCATAAATACATAGGTGGTATCGGTTTACGATAGCAGCTACATATTTGCTTGAGCGTGAGATTCTTTGGAGTTCCCTGTTCACCTGCTAATTCAGCGTTTAGCTATAACTTTGTCGTTGTTATGTGTCAACTTATGTAAATATGTACATACATACATATGTATGTACCTATATGCTTGATAAAAACAATGCCCTCATTTTTGTTTGTTTATATTTATATTTTATATCAAAAATTACTCAAACTTCCGCTGAATTTTAGAAATTTATTTTTTGCCAAAAGTTCTAGTAGCTGTTGAATTGAACTCATATATGTACATACATACATACAGATGCGATCAACTAATTAGCACCGAAATTCAAAATGATATTGTTTGTAAATTACGTGTATGTATTTATTTATTTTTAATAATTTTAATTTAAAATATAATTCAATTAATAACAAAAACCACATAATAAAATCGTTAAAGCTTGCACAAATTAAAAAAAAAAAAACAATAATTAAATATCAAAAAATTGTCATCAAAATTTTCAAACTGTGAATTAGAATATTTAGAAAATTTTTGGTTATGAAAATTATTAAAAATAAATAATTAAACATAAGTTGCAAATAATATCATTTAGAATTTCGGTGCAAATTAAATGATTGCATCTGTATATCGCATATTAATGGAAATTCATCAAAAGTATGTATGTACACTGGCGGAACAAAGTATTGGCAAAGCAAATTTTTCACAATATATGCACAATTTTCATTCTAATATTTTTATGGTTCATTCTACAACAAAAAACATAAAAATATAATTCCAAAACTACCGCGAAAATTTTCATGAAAATTTTCAACTTTTTAATCAATTTTTTAGAATTTTATTGAAAATGCAGGTTTGTAGCCCAATCAATAGTTCGTCGCAATAAGTTTTCAAAAAACTAAACGGAATAAAGAAAATATTTTTTTAAACCAGGAAAACCTAAAAATTTGAGAAACTGACAGTTAAAGAAAAAATATGAATCAAAAAAGTTTCCAAACATTAAATAAAATAAAAAATATGCATTTTTTAAGCAATACAACTTAAAAAAAAAAAAATTGTATTAAAGAAAAAATTGTTGCCGAGGATTGAACTCGGATCTCTTGAATGGCACGAAAGTGCTCTGCTCACTGGGCCATTGCCACTGTTACAGCAATGTTATCGAAATTGAAATTTATTGAAAAAAAAATCAAAATCATTCGTTAAAAAGTTAAGTAAAGGTTTCTGTTTACTTAACTCTAATGTCAATTAAATGCCGTTAACGAATCACTAACTGACTCTGAGAGGGAATTTTTTAAATCGTTACTGAGGGACACCTTAAGTAATCATTAAATGACTCTGATTGCGGTTGTAAGAGTGTAACTCTCAGCATAAGATCTCTAATCAAAAAATAACTGTGACTGAAGTGAAAAATAAATATTAAATATACATACCTACATACGGAGGTATGTATGTATGTTTATAAATGTTAGAGACAGGAAGACACGTTCCATTTTATGACATAAATACTATGTATTATCATTGTGAAAATATGATGCCAGAAATGTGGAAGTGAAAGGCTTCATATTCAGTGCAATATATTGGCATAAATGTACCCGAGAACAACAGCCATAAGTCGCAACACTCATAAATAATAAAAAAAAAACGAAGATACAAACACGCAGACACTACATAAAACGCACATTTCATAAATGTGTTATCACACCATTGCGTTCAAGACGTGCTCGCTTCGTGCACTCACCTGGTGGACGGTACCATAACGTAACGACTTCATGCGAATACGTATGACTGGGAACACTTTTTGCGCGCGCCAAACCGAAATCCGCCAATTTCAATTCACCACAATCGCTTATCAATAAATTTTGCGGCTTAACATCACGATGCAGGACGCGTCGCTTATGGCAGTAGGAGAGGCCGCGCAGCAATTGAAACAGAAATAAACGTACGTTACGATGATCCAGACCGCCAGGATGCTTTTCCATATACTGTGATAAGTCGGTATTCTGACAAATATGGGGAAAAAATTATAGTAATTTTAATAAAGTTGCAAAAAATAATAAAAATATAAAACCCACCACATATTCAAAAACGAACGTCAGCGTTTCTCTTGTATGCACAATGTCGTGCAGCGTCACAATATTTGAGTGTTTCAGTTCTTTCAGCAGCGAGGCTTCACGTATCGCCGTAAATGGGGCACCCTCCTCCTCTTGCAGTCTAATTTCTTTTAATGCAACACGTTGATGTGTTAAACTGAAAAGAAGAGTGCACAATTTTAATTTCAAAAGGAACAATCGAAGTAAGAAATATGTTGATAGAGAATACACAATTTTACATACTTAAGAATATGGAAGGTACTTAAGACTAAAGAAGAGAGTATAAACTTCCTTTTTTATTTAGTTTCTTAAAGAAGCATTAATTACGCTTGTCAAAAATCAACTATTTAATATATATTTTCGAGAACGGATTCCGCAAGCGGCTATTTGATGTTCATCTCACGAGAGTTCATCTGGAGTGTTGATGAAATACGACCCGAGATTTCTTAGTAATGCTGAGTTTATTTCAATGAATGAAACCGAAACCTAAACCGAAACCGTAACCGTTTAAAACCGTTTCGTTTTTCAAAACCGAAACCGAAACCGTAACCGTTATTTTGACCTGAAAAGGAACGATACCGAAACCATTTCAATCACAGGTTTCAATCGGTTTCCAGAAATTTACAAAAATAATAAATACAAATTTCTTAGAAATAAATGACTTTTCGCAAAAATCTGCTGATGACTTTGTTGTTGTGAATCGATAATTGATTAATTATATTTAAGTAGCTTCTTTCCCGTACGCAATGCGAGATCCCGCGTGTGCCCAAAATAGCCCAGAAATCATGCCTGTACTCAACAAAATGGGTATAGAGAGCGAAAATTCGAGCGTATTCGATCGTAAGTGTATTCTTCTTCCTGCCCGAAACAGCCCGAAATTTTCTCCGAGTAAAAATGGATAAAGTGTCAAAGTGCATATCAGCTGTATTGTGTTTACATGTTGCCTGCATTTACTTGGTGCTTTTAAGGAAAAGTGAATGGCCTGTTGATGTATTTTCAATCTATGTACTTAAAATCAAATTTGTGAAACCAAAATTCAATTTCCAAGTGTTTGCATTTAATACCATGTTCTGACCGACAACCAAAACATTTTTCCTTCATTTTCTTTTCATTTACAACCTTTAACTTTCATTCTTATTTTGCTTTGGCCAGGCAATTAACAATAAATCCGAAATGGCGTATTAAAGATGATAAAATATGACTTCCACTTCGATAAATAATCGAAAAAAACTAGTGAAGACACCGATTGGAATGAGTGGAAAGTGAGTTTTCAAGTAGTTTTCAGCGAAAACTGGTTTTCGTTTAACAGATTTTATATGGACGAAAACACAAGTTTTAGGTCGAAAACCAGTTTTAGCAACGAAAACATGTTTCCGATGTCGGTCAGAACATGGTATAAGTGACAAAAACAAGAACAACGTGAATCAGCTGTTTCTCGACTTGTGGGCACGAAATGTGGGTTTTTGCGTTTCCGTACTTCTGAACTTTGTTCCATTTTTGAAAGAAAATGTTTCTCTTATTCTCTAATTACCAAATCCGGTCCGGATTGTTAGGGAAAGAACCTAGTGTTGATATTATCAGTGAACTGTAATTTTCGATTTTCTTTCCTCAACGTTTAAGACATTGTGATTTAAATAATATCAACAAAATTTCTGTGAAAAACCGAAACCGGAACGAAACCGAAACCAAAACCGAAATAAATTTTGAAGAACGAAACCAAAACCGAAACCGAAACACTTGGCAAAACCGAAACCCAAACCGGAACGTTATTTTGAATCGGTTTCATTCCTTGGTTTATTTCACCTTCTCATGATTCAACGTCTGTTGTTTGCCATATGATCTAAAGGGTGTTCAATTCAGTTTGATTTGGTAGCAGCCCAGAGGCGACAAAGAGAGGTCAGGCACTCCATGACCAAATAAAATAAGAAAAACGATGTTTTTTTATTGAACTGAACCATTTTTCTGGGTGGTTTCGAACTCGATTCTAGTAATTTCAAATCAAATTCGGTTCGATTCCAAACCGATGCAGCACTGGTTAGAGAGAGAATCTGTGTCGATAAACAACCTGTTCGAAGCCTAACCCCGAAAACAACATTTTTTCTAATGGAAGCCGATTTTAGGCGGTCAATGGCAAACATCCCATTGCCGAAAGTCTCCAAAATTTGGATGGTAAATCTTAGAAAAAAATCTAATAAGTTTAACTTTGGAAAATTTCGCTATTCAAAATGGAAATCGAGTGCGGGTCTATGTTTTAATTAAAAAATATAAAAAGAAAAGTTCAAGAACTTAAAACTTTACGAAATTGTTTTAATTCCATTTATTGGGAAATAATTATATTTAGCCTTTAGTGCCTTACATAGCCAAACAAATTATTTTAAAATTTTTCAATAAGCCTTTAAATAGACGATATATGAATCCCGGAAGAACTGGACTTGTTCTTTTCATAAGGAGAGACGAGGTACCATTTTACAAGCCTCCAATCTAAATTGCGTTAGCTTTGCACTCCCTTCCAAGCTTCTGAACTGGCTGCAAGATGGCTGTGGATTTTCGAACTGAGCCCTGAATATTCTCCACAGGGACCTAAGTATATAGTAAGCTACTGATCCGATGCGACGCCACCCAGTTTAGCGCATATTCCGAACTCTGCTGCTTTGAAACCAAATTCTCTACAAGGATTCCTCAGTGAATTCTATGTAAGAAATGCTGAGATCTTGACTCAAGCTCTTCAGATAGCAGAAAAACTCTAAATGAGCTCCCCGATAACATAATGGTTCCACCCCACATGGGGTATTGAAAGCACAGGAACCTAAAGCTAACTCGCATGGCACTGCAAGTGACCAAAGTGCCCGAAGTGTATTGCCATGACTTAACGACTGTAGCAATCAGTGTACTTCTATCGTACAAAAGAAACCTTCCGATAAAAACCAACCAACTGTCATTCAAACACATAAAATTTGGGCGAAAATCTCGTCCTTTGAAGGATGCATTCCACACGCGATATATTTTACTACAGTATCGTAATTTATTATGCCACTATGTAGAATTTAAGCCACCTTCAACAGAATATTACTACGACAACCTAAATATGTACATACATAGCTACACGCTACGATGGAGCAGAAAGGAATTTCGTGCGCATAAAAGCCAAAGAATTTCACACAAATTACATTTGAATAGATACTCTCTGAAGCAAAATTAAGCTACGCGCCACAAAAACCACACAGTAAATGATTTTGGCTACAGAGCAGACGCAGGGAATACTGAAAGTAGCATAAAATAGGTGCAACATTGTAGCAAATATTTAATGACACATAGGAATGACACACAGACGCAATTGGCAAGAAGTAAGGCAGCAGACACAGCAATCACAAGGACGATATGTCAGACACAACTGAGGCGATAACAAATACCGACATACATATGTATGTACGTAAATATACATTTTTGTAGGGGCATACATATATCTATACATTTACGCATACCAGTACTCGCATAAAGCAGCCAGCCAACCCCATTGAATGGCACGCCAATGTTTATTAAAGCTGAAAAGCACTGAAATAGGGACATGCGCGCGCCCCACACTTTGCATTTCAATGCGCAGCCATATTTATGCGAAGCACCAACAACAAATACATACTACAAGAAAAGCTACGCGCTACTATTTACGACATTTACAACCGTTAAAGTGGCAAAAGCTGAACGTACGTAAATGCATTTAAGTATTGAGGACGCTGAAAGAGGACGACAAGTTAGGCAGGCTGGCGTTTAAATTCTCAACACAAATGGTTTTTTGTCGCTTTATGAAGGATCCATACATTAAGTGTTATCACGTGGAGTATTTAAGCATGCTGACGAGACAGACGTCTGTGCGTCTATCGACTTGGCTGCGTTCGTTGGCTGTTATAGCGTTCTTCAAGGCTTATTTGTCTCCATTGGCCTTCAATTCTTTGCATTTGCTTCAATGCGACGTTTGGTCGTGTCTAAGGTGTCAAATTAGGTTAAATTATATGACAGAGGGACAGTGTGGAACGCACTCTATGGATATAAAAGTAGCGAGTAAACATATAAACATACATACACTTACACACAGTATATACGTAGAACATTGGAAAACTTAAGATTTTCAGGACTCAAGTGTGAAAGAAGCAAGAAAACGACAAACGACCAGGCGGAATGTTTGAAAATTTATGCGGCAAGCTCTGTGAGGTATATTCAAACTTGCAACGTAAATTTTTTGATTTAAAACATAGTAAACTATTTGTGTGTACCAGCGAAGGTCAACAGTGAGAGTTCTGATGACCTTTTTTAAATTCATGGGAAATTTTACAATTAAAAAAATTTGTAGATGTTTTTACAAGAAAGTTCAAACATCGAGTCTGGCCAACTAGTCCAACGACAGGGAACTTTTAGGCTTATTCTTAGTGATAAACTGCCTGCTTTCGGTGCCTGCTTTGGGTGTCTACTTTGCATTGCGATTCGAAAAGCAAATCACTCAGATTCGAATGCTTGGCACTTTGAATTTGTATTAGTCCGTGTCGTCTTTCGAATCGCATTGAGTTTCGAATCGCAATACAGAGTAGATCCCGTGAATTTTTAAGTCAATTATGTGTCTTGATGAAGTATATTTTTTAATGCAATTCCATTTTTAGAAAGTTATTTAATGTATTCTTTTTGTTTGATTTTATTAACTTTTATAAACTTATTTTATTTTTTCTTTGTTTTTTTATTTAGTTTTCTTTTAATTCTTTGATTTTATTGTTTAAAAAAGAAAAAAGAATTTTATTAATTTAACTTGCATAGACCTATTTTATTTATTTCTCCTTTTTAAATATTATTTTTTTTCTTTTTATAAATAAATTCTAATTTGTAGCTTTTATAATTTTTAAAAGAAATATTATATTTTTTGCTTTTTTAATTAATTTTTTTTTAATTATTAGATTTTGTTGTTTTGAAAAGAAAAATATTATTTTTTAACTTCATTAAATTTTTATAAAGTTATTTCTCTCAGTCTCAGGGGACAACGAAAACAGACAAGGCCCGATAATTGCAACTCAGGTCGATCTCTGCACCTTGCTTGTCAATCTCAGGCATGCTCTGCGACAAATTTCCATTTGAAGCTTGTAGCGGGCTACCAGGTTACTGTGAGGAAGAAGGCTA